AAGTTTTTTGTTTTTCTTATTATAGTTAAATCTAAATAATTTAGTGTGTTGTTTTGTTCAGGTTCTAATGTAAATTGAATATTTTGATTTATGTTATTGAAATCTTTAAGTACTTGTTGGATATTTGTCTTTTTTGTATTGTAAATTATTATTATATCATCTACGTATCTGCTATAATATTGGATATGGTTTTTATTTAATATGTTTATTATGTTATTGTTACAATAATGTTATATTAATAATATCTAGACACAACTTTCATAAAATATACTGAGAAAGATGATAAAATTATAAAATTGTAAAAACTATAAATAATTGTAATTTGAGTTTAAAAGTTTATAATTTACACCTGATGACGGTTTGATAAACCGAAACATGTTGTGAATGTTCCGATGAAAATCGAATGCTCGATATGGAACATAAGATGATATTTTAATCATTTTAATTATCTTAACTTACTATTTTATTGTGATTTGACGGTAAACAAATATAATAATTATTTGAGAGAGACAAACACACAAAATTTTGATGGAAAAACTTCTTGAAAAGCAAGCTGGAAGACAGAGCTGAAGCTAGAAGTTAGAAGAAATAAAGATAACTGTCATCTGTATGTTACACCATGTAGTCTGGTAGAAACTGACTGATGCTTTGAAGGTGCTTATTACCCCCATCATCAGGGTAATGATAAAAGGCTGTAAGCACCTTTGAAATATTGGTGAATTTCTGGCAGACTACATGGCATTTTCCCAGAAGACAGTCTATCTTAATACTCGCTGGTGTGAGAATCTGAAATCTCACCAAATCAAGCATCAGTTGTAAGGAGATTCTAATTTGGAAAATGAAGTCATTGTAAGAGAAAATCAATTATGATGATGTTTCTCACTTCAGTTGGACACTGAGGACAGCAGTGATGAGGGGGAGAGGCCAAATCTAGGCAGTGGCAGAAGAACAGCAGCAGCAATTCTACACATGCTACACTGCCATTCAGAAGTCCTACTTCTGGCATGACTGTTCCTAATATCACAATAAATTCTAATCCCTTCAATAACTTTTCTGATTTTTCTTTCAAGTATCTTGCTGCTGAAGATCACTGCTGACAAAACAGACAGGTATTTCTGCCATCCTCTGCCAGAGAAATATCTGTTACTGAACATATAAGATTCATTTTTGAAGAAAAGAAAAGGGAGCTGTGAATGCTATGTGTATTTTACCTTGAGTCCAGATACAAGTTTAAAATGTGTTTCGAATTAACGGAAGTGATTTACTAGTCTCCAGAATAAGTTATAAAATGTAGTCAGTCATGTTAAAGAAGGTTCTCTCTAAACTAGTTTCGCTTTATTTTCAGGAGACTGTGACTTAGAATGGTGTGATGGACTGGGAATCCTCATCATAATACTAGGTCTTGTATATTTGGGACTTCTATATTATCACATCATCAAGAAATTCTTTGGCATGTTCTTAGAAAGGAACATATTGATACCAATCCATAATCAGTGGCACAGGCTTATGGCATACAGGTGAACAAGTTTTAAAGTCAATTCAAATAGCCATGCAATTTAAACTTTATTGTACATGAATAGGGGATTTAAACACCCTGAACTAAATGGCTGCTGTCTGGACTTTAACTGTGGGGTGAATGGTATGACAATATGCTGGTGTAATGTGTGGCCAACTGGATCATGCATATTCTGTAGTGCACAGGTTATTTAAAGCTTATCCATTACAGAGACCTCAAGTACTTGATCACTGGGATCCTGGGTTTGAATCCTGGTAATGGCATAAATGCCTGTCTGCATTATTCTATGTCATCCTGTGTAGGCAGAGAGACATGTAGATAAGGTAGTCACAATATATATATTTGTACAGACTGATTATTTGTCAGACCTTGTAAATCCCAGTTTTCTGTACAAGATGGTGTACATTGTATTTCTCAGCTCCTTACTCATTTTGCTACTATTTTGTTACTATGACAGAGGAGAAATAAAGAAAGGTGAAGGTTACTTCAGTCATAGAAATTTAAGAGCTGCAGAGGATTGGCCCACAGACTCTGATTGCTACGGTAAGGCTGCAACCTCAGAGTCAATAGCACTGGCTCCCACCTAAGATGTTCTCTGATGGCAGGGAAAGACATTTTCTTCCTCCCCTAATAGTGTTATGGTTATACCGCCCAATACTCGGTCCTCAGAGCAGGCAAGGTTGACTTTAAAGCAGGAGAGGCTGTATATGATGCATCACTGCTCCTTACACCCTAAAGAAAGGCGAAGCATATATAAAATATATTTTCACTGTATTTACAAATTCTTACAGCATGTATTAGTTTCATCATGTCTATCATGGTACCTATCAGTATGATCATGATGATGATAATAACATGTGTGATATTGAAAACATTGACCAAGCTGCTACATTTGAATTACCATTTACACCAGCTGATGAAGACTTGGTGAATACCCAATGGGCTGTTTGAAATATATTAAATAAGTAATTTCTGCTTAAGGCCATAATCATAAATAAATGAGAAGAGTTACCTTTTTTTTTATTTCATGAGTAAAGACTATGAAATTGCTGTTACTGTGAGAAGAATGCATATACAGAGAGGAGACAAGCCTCATGTGTAAATAAAATACATCTTATAATGTCATTCAAAAGGATGAATTTGTCCTTTCTTGTTGTGATACATGTCAATTTACTAGTTAGCTTTCAGATAAAGTCTTAATCAGTATCTCAAAGTTATTTTTTAAGAAAAATGAAATTGTTTTGGCAACAAAACATATTAATAATTTATAACTATTCTGTCTTTCTGTTACAGGTATTTGAAATTAACAATATATTTATTGCCATTAATAGCAGTAATAGTGTTCCTTGCTTTGGATACAGCTGACAACACTGAGAGACTAAAATCATGTATTGGGGTGGTTGTGATCATGGTACTAGGATTTGCATTTTCACGGCATCCTGGACAGGTAGATTTCATATCATTCAATATTCAAGTGTTTATTGCTGATTCCAAGATAGTGCAACTTCTGCATAAATGTTAGGAATTCATTGTAGTAAGCCTACTGAATTATAATTATAAAATAAATTGAACATCTTAATGCTTTGATGACAGTGATATAGTTTTAATTAACATAGTTGATAAATATAAAACAAAAATATAACAAGGAGGAAAGGAAAATAAGCAGAGGGTTCACCTAAAAACGGCTTGATTATTATGTTCTGAATAATGCAGTCTTGAAGTATATGTATCTTGTAGTAAGGGATTATTAAAATTATGCATCATTGTCTCAGATTCAATGGAGGCCAGTTCTATGTGGCTTGGGCATCCAATTTGTTCTTGGCTTGATCAGCGTTCGTTGGTCTGTTGGTCGTAGCATCTTCCAGTGCATTAGTGGCAAGGTTGCTACACTTCTTGCCTACAGTGATGCAGGATCAAGATTTGTGTATGGTGATTTTCTCATTGACAGTGGTGTTTTTGTATTCAAGGTATGTATACTAAAGATAGCTGTTTTATTTTATGTCAACATATATACATTAATTTAAAAGTATAACATTTGTGTGCATGTAAGTAAATGGGCATAATGTTAAAAATGTACTCAGGGATCCAAACTTTTTAAAGCTCATAACAGATTGTAATGAAAGTTAAAAGCTTGCATTAAAATAGAAGAATCATTATTTTGAACTCTTTTTGGTACAGATTTTTTGTTCTGTTTGTGTGTGTGTGTTTGTTCTATGCAGGTGCTGGTACTGCATGCCACTAGGAAAGAATCTTGTAATAAAATGCTTACATTCGAAGATGTCATGGTAGAGAATACTATCTGCTATATTTATTAGAGAAAATGTATGAATTCTGTGTTTTACAGTTGAGTCCACAATAACATCAACAGTTATAACATTAATTGTTAAATCTATGAGTAAAGAAAGTGATTGGCATGAAACTTAGTGACTAGTTTATGAATACACACTTAAGTTAACATGTGTACTGAAGTACTGTGCAAAATGGTGTTTCAGTTGTTTCTAATTGTTTGCTTTGGAATGTATGGAGATAGTGGCAAAATACATAACAATCATAGTTTCACAGTTCCTTCATCTGAATATTTCTTTCCTCACATCTGAAATATACTTATGTTTTGCAGTCTCTTTCAGTCATTTTCTTCCTGAGCTTCATCGTGCAGATTCTGTACTACTATGGTGTCATGCAATGGACTGTGATGCAAGTAGGCTGGTTACTGCAGAAGTCAATGGGGACAACTGTGTGTGAATCTGTCAATGCAGCTGCTAGTATTTTTCTTGGCATGGCAAGTATTTAAACATGAAGAAGTAAATAACATTGGAATAATGAGGCTATTTTTAGCAGCATTTCACTTTGTCTTGTAATATGGATGTTTTTATATTATTAACCTTATCATCATGAATTTGATGTCTGTAACTAATATTTTCAGGAATGTACATATCAGACTTTAGTACTGAATGCATTGTGGAACATAATTATGAACCATTTGTGTTCATATTTTATTAAGTACTAGTATATACCACATAAAAAGGTTTTAAATATTACATTACACTTTGTGTTGTGTCAGTGTTTCATACATTGAAGCAATTTTTAGGAAAATGGCAGTTTGATTTGCATCATGTAAAGTAGTGGTTATATTATACTAATTATTGACCAAGATTAAATTTTCCCAACAGTCTTTAGTGCAGATCCAAAATACAAGTTTTCATCAAAATCTACTGAGTAGTTCTGGAAATGAAACGTGTTCTGTATTCATGTGTTCATTTTATGCTTGATGTGCAAAGAATCCACAGTAAATTATCAGCCAATATTCCTGTGGCTTACTGGTTACAGGGAGAATCTCCATTACTGTTCAAGCCATACATTAAGGATCTTACCAAGTCAGAAATACATGCTGTCATGACTGAAGGCTTTGCTACAGTTGCTGGTAAGTCAGTAGGAATGATCCTGGTTAGAACATGAAATTAAACACTGAGATTTTAGTCAGGATTGACTGATCCCTTTATGAACACATACGAGGTGCGATCGGAAAGTTTCAAGACTGCGCCTATAAAAACCCGTACACTTATCTCAGGTATTAAATTCATCCATCACCCTCGAAGTAGTTCCCCTGGGAGTGAACACAACGATCCCAGCGCCGCTGCCAAGCCTGGAAGCATCCCTGGAAATCTTTCTTTATCAGCCTGTCAAGCACCATCTGCGATTCTGCCTGAATCTCTTCTATCGTCTCAAATCTAATTCCCTTTAGCTGAAATTTCATCTTTGGGAAGAGGAAGAAGTCACACAGAGCT